CCATTCACACATCATTATAAATAAATATATAAATATTTCTTTGCAGTCATGAATTATGCATTCTTTTATATTAAAATAGAGTTAGATATAATGATGCTTCAATAAATATATAATATTATGTGTGTGTGTATATATATATATATATACACACACATACACACACACATATACATGTTTTATTCATTTATTTTTCTGTTTTTATTTCGGCAATTGTTTTATTGTTAGTGGTTTTAATGTAAGAAACATTTCACTTATGTGTTGCCATGATAGTTTGGAGAAAATAACATTATACGTATCCAACAAAATATTTTTCTCAATGTTTTATTTGTAGATGGTCTGTATGTCATTCGTTTTAATTATGCATATCAATTACTTTAACTATCATGTATTATGTTGCGATACCTTATACAGTCACCAGCCAACTGCCAACTTTTACTTGTGTGAGTGATCATTTTGGACCCTGCGTATTTCACTCTCACTTTTTCTCAGTCAAAGAAGTCAAAGTGTTGCTCCTTCATGTCAGATCCACTCATAAATCAACTCCAAGAGAAACAACACATTCAAGCTGTCACCTGCTCTCTCCGATGCCTGTCATTCCCTGCTCCAGCAAAGTTAGCACGACTTCCACATACAATAGTACTTTGTTTTTTTGTTTTTTTACAGTCTTATACAATTAAAAAAAGCTGTATCCATGCTTTCATACACTTTTTTATGAATCTTTTTAAGTCTGTGCTGGTCGTTACAATAAAAAGTTAGCTGCAGTGCATTAGCTTGTCAGACAAAAAGCATGTAACTGAAAATGTTCTTTAATAAATGAGGTTTAAATTCTATCTACATTAAGCTGGAGGGCCGGCTATAACAACTGTTCGTGTGTAGGGGGTTAACATGAGCCTGTCTGTCCTCATGGAGGCTGTAGGGACAGCTGAACATACCTGCATTCTGTTGTGCTGCGTTGCGATGGTAAAACAATACCTTTCAGAATTGTCGTTATTGCTGGATGAGCCAGGGGGATCTCGAAACGGGCAGAATGCCACACCAGTCAGCTCAACGGTGACATAAATGGCTCTTTAATGGGTGGAAGGACCCACGTCATTGCCAAATCTGAGCAGAGAGGTCCAAAAGACGTGATCTGTGGGGTGACATCATGCACAAGACAAAAAAAGAGAGAGATAAAATAAGATTAGGTGTCTCAAAAGACTAATTCATATTTAAAAACAACTTAAATAAAATTATTATTATTATTAATTACATAGATATAGTGCTCTTCTCACAACATGCACAAGATCAAAAGAAAGAGAGATAAAAAGATTATGGGTCTGAGAAGGCTACTTCACATGCAAAAAGAGCTTGATTTATAATACTAATAATAATTACTCTTACTAGTTACATTTACATAGCACAAGACAAAAAATAATACAAAATAAAATAAAATAAGACGAATTCACATGCAAAAAAACAGAGGTAGAATGAATAATAAAATTAGCTGTCTAATAAAACTAATTAACATGCAAAAACATCTTGATATAAAATAATCATTATTGTTATTGTTATATTTATATAGTGCCTGTGGGGGAAATTATTATTATTATTATTATTACTAATATTATTATCATTAGTAGTGTTATCATTTTTAGGGATCAAATTCCTACGATCAGATGAGGGGACCAACTAAATGTTTTTTTTACATTGCTGAAGGTACCATATAATTGTGTCCCAAGACTCATGAATTCAAGCAATTTCACATTTGATTTTTTATTATTTTTATGAAATATTTTGGCAAGACTTTTGAGGAGTTTTATACTCCATATGATGATCACAATAACACAACATAAGGCATGATGAAGCTACAGAACACACAAAACAGAGGCTATACTGAGTGACAGTAAACTGTAGAAAACACCCAGTGAAGGAGAGATGGACTGACAGAGACAGCAAACAAAACGAGAGATGTCAAAAATATCAAGAGGCTAAACAAGGAGAAGCGCACAGGTGTTGGCATTGGCCCTCCTCACATGCGCTCCTGACAGCAGGGGGCAGGAATGAAGCGGTCACTGAGATGCTTTTGCGCCATGATCAGCCTAGGCTGGCATCCTCACAGAATTCACAGCAGCCTGTGCCAAGGCAACAGAAGCGGGTTGCCGAGACAAAGCTGCTGACATTTACATCATGTATAGTAGAGGAAGGTTTTGTTGCTCAGAGGTTGCTCTTTAAGAGGTCAGATTAGAGACCTAATGGAGCTCTTAGTAATGGTCCAAGTTCATTATGGTCTCATATGTTTCTCCTAAACCTCCCTAGAAGTTATAAAGAGAAAAAAATCAGGTATACAGACAAAACGACAGTAATGAATGTGGAGAGATCAGATAATTTGGTTGAAAACAGTTGTGCTGCTTAATAATTTGGGGGGAAATCATTTTTACAGGATTCTCTGATGAACAGAAAGTTAAAAAGAACAGCATTTATTTGAAAAAGAAACTTTTGTAACATTATAAATGGCTTTACTGTCACTTGATCAATTTAATGCATCCCTTGCTGAATTAAAAGTATTAATTTCTTTTTTTTAAAACTTACTCACCCTAAACTTTTGACTGGTGTAAATCTGAGAAGCAGAAGGCTCTGAAAGTTTCCATTTGATCTCAATTTAATCTCATTGCTCTCTAGCAGAAGCTATTGACATTTCGTTTTCATTCCTGTAGCACTTTCTGTTCAGCACTTTCCCGTCACATGACCTCATGCTTGTCTGTTTATAGGTATAAATTAAGCATCAGGGCTTTCTAAGTAAAATCAAAGATGAGATAGGCTAAGTTCATTTTCAGCTTTGTCCACTCTGAAAAGAGTCAGGTGCCAGTCATGTGTCCATGCTATTATAATCTATAAATACAGCAGCTGGTTTATTTGAGAACTGTCATACCTAGGAATGTGTGCGTTCATTGATCTTGTTAGGCTTTTGTTTAACTCCCCTAATCACCTTACTCGGGTTTGCAAGAGTACTTTCATCATGCTCTGCTGGGTTTACTGTAACGCTGTGTCAACATGTGCCTCTTTAAACTGTTTGCTATTCGTCTAGACATATGCACTGCAACTAACACAATACTGCATACTGACACCCGGTTTAAAACTAAATGCTTTAAAGACAGACAAAGCTCCCCTCATAGTTCTGTATACAAACTATAAATACAGTGGCCCAAAAAAGTATCCAGAGTTAAATATAAATATTAAACCAAATGACATTTATTATAAAGACAGCACAACCTTTGTTTTCAAATGAAGTGGTTTTTGTTATTTATTGGAAAGACATTTAGACATCAGGTGTCCAAATATTTTTTTAAATATATTTTAAAGCCTGGTTACCTAAAATAAAGGAAACTTCATGGAGCTGTTTTTCTTTTTTCCTGACAGATGATGGCCAACCTGAAGGTGAGTGCTGAATTTCTTAAGATAAATTGTTTGCCTCATCCTAGATGAGATTTTAATGAGTGAATGGACAATGTTAAATGAGAGTCAATGATTGGGAGGGAAAAAAATCTTTAAACCTGGTCCGACAAAAAAATATATGTATAATTATTAAGTCAGCCAGTCACTAAAGCCTTTTGCGAAAATTACCTAAATTTTCTCATTTTCACTCTAGGTACGATGTATTTTGCTTCTGAGTTTTAGTCATCTATCAAAACATTTATTATTACCATAAAATAAATCCTCCAGTAATCCAAGGGCATTTTTACTAGTCTGGTAGCTTTGAGTCACAATATGGCATCAATTAGCTGTTTTAACTGCGTTTTGGAAACGAGTGACACCGGTATGAAAAAAGGAGCGGTATATTGTCAAGGGAACGGAGTGACTTTATCGTGAGTGACTTTATCGTAAGTAATGTCAATACTGTAAATAGTGATGAAAACGATGTATGAAGCACAGTTTAAACAGAGGTTATAGTCAAACCAAGCAGTTTTCTGTTGTTCAACTTGGTAAACCCATGTAAACAACTTGAACCCGTTGCAAAATCTGCATGGAGAAATCTTTCGCCCTCTTGCGAAATTCTAGATCACGGATCGAAATGACTATATTTTTTGCCAAATGATATGTAAATGTGACCGCACATTTATTCTTACCATTTAATTAATACTTAAAAGGCATTTATGATTCTGTTTAGTAGTTTTGATTCTCAAAACTGGGCAAATTTGCTATTCTGACTGCGTACTCAAAACGAGTGTCTGCAAAGGGATGCAAGCTGTTAAAGTAGTGATCTCATGACAGTGAAATTAAAGTTCAGTTTAATTTGCGATGAGAGAGTGTTACTGATACAAATAAACCACCGGTTGATTGAGTTCTGTTAGTGTATAAGTATGTCTGATGCTGGAAGTACTGATGTTGACGTTTTGTGTGGCACAATTTTTGCTTTAAGCAACAAAGCAATCAATAAGGCCATAAGCGCACAGCACTGGTGTGCAAGCATGGTGACCACAGTGGCACAAATGTGCAGTACTCACCAGATGAGTATCGCTGTTATTTCAGATATCAGCCAAATGGTCTGAATCTCCCTGTATGCTGTGCAGCTGATCATGAGTTGTTGATTCAGATGACATTTAAGGCCTGTGTTACCAGCGTGCTGCGTCATTAGAGGTCACTAGAGGTTCTAGAATGATTTTTGGCTTTGGATCCATAATTTGTAGAGCTTCTGACTTTGCAGAGCTTTCTGGCTATGGTTTCCTATCACAAGGGTATATATTTGGTATTATACTAATTCTATTTACAGCCAGTGAATTACATATATTGTTAAATGATGTCCATTTCAAGCTTCAGAGATCATTTCATTTTCTTTCACTTTCCAGAACAGGAATGTTTTGGGGAGTTCTCCATTTCCCTTCTGTCCTGATAGTCGACTTCTTTTATGAAAGACAAGCAGAAGTTTCTTTTGCTTGTGTTTTATGAATGAGGTCCACTGTGTGTGTGTGTGATAACATTTATATATATATATCTGTATATAAATGTATATAAGTGTCTGTGAGTGAGTATATTGTATTGTCTCCTGTCCTTCGGCATATGTGTGTGTTTGTATGTGTTGCTGACGCTTCATGCTTTGAAAGAGGCACTTGCATTCTTCCGCTATGTCTGTCACATACTCAGAGAATGTTGCCCCAGACTCTGGTGACGCCCCATCTGAGAATTCGGTTGTGGTGACACCGAAAGGTAGGTGTTCAACCATGTAACTCTTTTATTCCCCTTCCTTTGGGTTTCTTTCACATCGAACACGAAACTCTTGCCTCACGTGTGTGAGAGTGTTTGTGTTTGTTCCACTGTGATTTCCACCAAATTATCACTTTGTGACCACAACAGTTCAGGTAAATCAGCACACAAACTACAAGTGTACAAACCACAGCACACACACACACTTTTTAAGGGTTCATACTGACAGAAATGGATGCCCACACCTTAACCCACACCTGCATCTGTACTAATGCCTATACTAGTTTATGGATGGCAGGATATTTTTCTGCGCAAATGCACATCTGTATATGGAGAAGTTTGATGAAAAGGTATAGTATATGAAAGAAGCAAAGGACAACCGCAGAAAGACATCTGTGCAGGCATCAACTGTTTATTGTGCTTTCAAAATAAAGTTGACTGCAGTAGAAATGCAAAATTCACACTGACAGTGGTTGTTATGTACAAATATATGGATATTTAAACATTTAAATGTATGATATTTATACTAATATTATATTTTTATTTTAAAGTATATTTTTAATATAAAGAACATTTTAAATAAAAATACACATTAAATTAACATATCTATAACCTATGGAAGCCCGTTTCCGCCACTGAATAAAATTAGTTAAAAAAGGTAATAAAAACTCGCAATTTTGACTTTTTTTCTCGCAATTGCGAGTTTATATCTCACAATTCTGACTTTTTTTCAGAATTGCGTGATATAAACTCTCAATTGCGAGTTAAAGTCCAATTTTGAGGGGGGTAAAAAATATATAGCATAATTTGCTATATATATAGCAAAAAAAGTCAGAATTGCGAGATATAAACTCGCAATTTATTGACTGTAGTTGTTCTGTAGAAATATATGGATATTGGAAACATTTCAATTTATACTATTTATATATAATATAATATTATATTTTTATTATTAAATTATGTATTTTAAATAAATATACACTATACTTAAAATATGAGAAGGAGAATAATTCATTCTCATTATTGACTGTAGTTGTACAATGCAGATTAATAAATATATATACTTATATATATTTATATATTATTTCATTTTATATTAAAAATATACTTAAACATGTTTAGACATTTTGTGCATGAGAATAATTAATAGAATTTTCAATTTTTAATACTGCACAAGCAGATGCTTGCACAGCCTGTTGTACTTTGCTTCTTTTGGGATTTACAGTTTCATAGATGTACAGTGACAAGATCTATTTTGGTCACTTGACCATAATCAAATGAACTTGAAAAATGCCATAAATTTCAATCTAAATAATTATGTATATCAAACCACACATGCAAATTTGGCACATTTTTGTGATGCACTTTGACCATTAGTCACTCTACATCTATGTGTGTTTGTGCATGTGTAAGCATTTGGGTTGAAGGTGGCTTCCTGAAGTCTTGCTGCTCTAGCCTGGCTGTGTTTGCTGTACAGAGGCTAAAGTGGCATCCAAAGACACAGAGGCCAGAGTGAAAATCACAGAACCAGAGGCGGCCGTGCCCATACCTGCTGCTGAGGCCCCTCAGCCACAAACTGTAGTAATTGTGGTGACTGAACTAGAACCTGTAGAGGGTGAGGTCACAGACCCACAGCCTTTAGAAAACGGGCACAGTGAACCAGAGCCAACACAGGCTGAGAAGCGTGTCGAGGTAAAAGAAGAGCAGCCCGGCACTTCAAAAGTTCCTGGTGAGTATTGCTAAGAGTAAAACCCCAATAACAACTTGTCAGTGTTGGGGAAGCTACTTTGAAACTAGTTTGCAAAGCTACAAGCTACAGAAAAACAATGAGAATCGCAACTGAGTGACAACTTTAGAAGATTCGTTAAAGGACATTACAACTAATTAACTAAAAAAAAAAACATAGATTGAAAAAAGTCCAAAAGAGTAAGAAAAGTCGACTAAGATGTTGTAATCTAGTTTATAAGTAGTCTATTTGTATTTGTGTGTCCACTAACATTTGAATTTATACTGATCAGCACCTTCAATGAAGAAGTCTGCTGAGACAAAAGCTACCCCTAAAAAAGGTATTGTTTGACAAAGGAGTACAGAGAAGTATATCAGTCAGTGTGTGTTTTGTGTGGAGATGTGTGTATATGTGCTTTGAGCATTTATACTCGCTGTGTTGTCTCTGAAGCTTTAATAATGTGGCTTTGTCAAGTATTCGAGTATAGACATTCAGGCCACATAAAATTGCTGAATCTGTTCCTGCAGCAACAAAATGAATCTTCTGCAATAATTGAAGCATAGCTTTTCTCTGTGTATTGCAAAATAATGCTCATGGGTTTCACCGGCAAGCCAAAATATAACCTCACACTTCCTTTCATCCACATGTGTGTTGCTTCATGGCCTGGCGGGCCATCAGATAAGCATGTGGTTGTATACATATCACTTCTGTCTTGCAAAACACACTCTTATCGCACTTCCTCCTCACACACGTATACACAGCCACAACAAAGTCACTGTCATGCTTGTTCCATCTTTTACTTGTAAGTGGGTTCATGTTGAATTTAAAGTTCATGTATGCATGCTGAGTTTGGTCTACGGCTGGAAATGGAGTTCAGTGATAGGTGGGTGTATGTGTCAATCACACCTTTATTTCAGATAAAGATGATGATGTCACCGCCAGCACCCCATCACCTCCACCTCCAGCAGGTTGGTAACCATGACGACCCATCCTCATCAAATCACTCTTTACACTTCTTTACTAATGTTCTTGCTATAAAAATGTCAGGTGAGCTTTTGAAATTCAAAATAAAGCAAATACTTCAGAAGGAATAAGAATTTATGAATAAACCCAGCTAAAGCTTGGACTAAAAATGTATATTTACAGCTCTAGTTGAAGGAACATATGTGCAAAAACCCATGCACGTAATGTTTGTGATTTTTGCCTGATTCCTACAAGCATTTGGACCCTTTATATAATATATAATCATATCTATATAAAGGAAGAGATGCAGAAGACATCTAATGTGTATACAGTATTTATACACATAATGCTTGTACAGAAATGCATAATTCATGTTTTTGCATTTAATACAATGTTCTAATGATGTTTTACATGCGTTGTAAATTAAAATAAAATGAAGGGCAAAAGGAAATAAAAGGGAAAAGGAAGAAAATTAATTAAAAGAAAAAAACTGTCAAAATGTGCAATGTTTTATTAAATTAGACTTTTCATCATTACATTTTTAGGCCAATAAACATCCCTTCACTTGGCAAAAACAGATACTCATAATAAATAATATTTTGTTTTCTTTCACAGAGGACAGCAGCACTCCCAAGAAACTTTCTATTGACCTTCCTAGTAAGAGTCTTTTACTAATTAATGCCCCCTATTACTTTCTACCCAGAGATTATATGTGAACATTAATTTGATCAAACAGGTTCAGGTTTAATAAGGTTATTTACAGTAGAGCCTTGCCCTTTAAATTTACATTGTAACACTTTCCAATACATAAATTCCTCTGCTCATTCTATCTTTTATGTCACTATAAAACATAATTTTATGACATTGGCATTGCTAAAACATTATAATAGTTGTTAGAATATTATAACATTCATTTATCATATTTAATTCATTTTAAAGAAAAACATCCTTGATATTTTGAAGTAATTAAAAACTAGGCTAACAGTTGTATGTAATATACAAATATTCTGAGCACAATCAAGCATGATGTTTCCTAGAAAGACAATTGAACATGTATGGAACAATGCAACCATTATGTCACATTTCGCTAAATAGAGTGTCGTTAACAATCTGTTCCTGCTTTCTATTCATGTTTTATATGTGGAATTGTGTGTCATTGTGTGTTTACAGTGTGTTGGCCGCAATGGACTTTACAGTAATATTTCTTAGAATATGCTGTAAATTTCTCTCTGTCTCTGTTTAGATGATAGCGACCCTGAGTCAACCAGGGGGAGGAAAGACTCAGGTAATTCTATAACTACAGTAGATGCTTTAACTGATCCCATAGAAGCCAGAAACACAGGCTGCAGTAGGACTATGTCTAGTCATAAGACGCTTTCTATAGTGCCTAATTTTCCCACAATGGACAGCCAAATGGAACCGGCACATGGGTACATTTGGCCAGAGTGGTGTAATAATCCCAAACCCCATCTTGAAAGAAACTTGAGGGGTTTTGGAGATCATCTGCCTTTTCACACTCCATGGGAAAATGAATGGCACAGTTTATATTTTTATTTAGAAAAGATTTAATCTCATCATTGATCATTGACTAAAATCATCTGTGAAATCTCATTGAGCAATCTGAATATTTTCCGATATGATTTTGCTACACAATGTATATTTACATATGTTAACCGATTCTCTCTTTTCCCTCTTAAAGGTCATTGTTCAGTGTCTTTATGCTTTCCATGTTGCTTTGTGGCAGCAATGTGTGATGACGATGTGTTTGTTGAGTACTTGTGTGTGTGTCAGTTAAGGCAATTGGATGATTGTAAGATATATGGATTTAAAACATTTTATAATAACTTTCATTAAGAAATTTTATGCATACGATTATATTTAAATATAAATATAGAGATATTCATATTTTAATGTGCACTAGCTACTGTAATTAAAGAAAAGAATCTGTTGGGATATGTCTCTCCTAACTTTGCACATCTAGACTTTGCAATATTTGCTCACTCTTCTTTGCAGAACTGCTAAAGTTCAGTTAAATTTGATGGTGACTGCAGTCTTCAAGTCATTCCACAGATTTTCAATGGGGTTTAAATCTGGGCTCTGACTAGGCCATGCAAGGACATTCACTTTTTTCTCCATTAACCACTGTGTGGTCAGTTTTGCTGTGTGCTTTGGGTCATTGTCATATTGGAATTTCCTCAAGAATTTGACGGGATTTTGCCCCATCCACTTTTCCTTCTATCCTGACAAGTTCTCCAGTCACTGCTGCAGAGAAACTCCCCTATAACAGGATCTTACCACCTCCATGCTTTACTGTAGGAATTCTGTTATTTGGATGGTGAGCTGTATTGGATTTCCGCCAGACATATCGTTTAGTGTTGAGGACAAATAATTCAGTCATTTTAGTCTCATCTGCCTCAGAATCTTCAAGGTGTGTTTTGGCAAAGCTCAGTCATGACTGCATGTGGCCTTTCTTGAGGAATGGCTTTTTCTTGCAACGCTCCCATACAAGCCACATTTGTGGAGAATTTGTGATATTGTTGTCACATGCATACAGTGAACACTCTTTGTCATAAATTCCTGCAACTGCTTCAGAGCTGCTGTAGGCCTCATGGTCGCCCCTCTGATCAGTTTCCTCCTGGCTCTTTCATCCAGTCTGGAGTGACGTCCTGATCCAGGGAGGGTCTGTGTTGTACCAAATACCTTCCACTTCTTAATAATAGACTTCACTGTGCTTCTAGCCATTGATAAAACCTTAGAATTTTGTTTATATCCATCTCCTGACTTGTGCCTGTCCACAACTTTATCTTTTGACAGTGCCTTGCCACACATAGTTGATTGTTTGCTTCAGTTACACTACCACGGACTGAAAAGCTCCAGGAAATCTCTTTTCATGCTGAGCTAATCAAAATGACCACAGCTGATCACAGTTGAAAGTCTGTGGATGTTATAAGTTATAAACATTCACTTGGATGTTATAAGTTGCACTGAGCAAATACAGCTGGATAAAATAAAAACTGTGTCCGTCTTCATTTCAGCCTGCAAAGCAACAAAATGTGATTATTTTAAAGGGGTGATTCTTTTCTATACCCACTGTATCTATTAAGTATTATATAATATGCTAATAAAAATGAAAGTTATTATAAAGTTACCAATAATGTAAAGTGCGGTAAGTGTGTTCTTTCTCCTAATTGGTCAGTGTGGTCTCTGGGGGACGGACAGCCTGCCGAGGAGATCGAAAAACAAACCGAGACTCCGCCACTCTCGACTCTGTTGATTGAAATGCCGCAGAGTGGTTCCATCAATGTAGGTCAGTAATTGTAGCTTTATAATGGGTTTTGTTCATTTTCAAGCTCTTATTCACATCTTTAAGATCTCACAACATTTCAAAACATCAAACATTTATTATAATGTTCTTTGAAAGGTGGCGACATCACCTTCACTGCTAAGGTGGAGGCCAAAGACTTGCTTCGTAAACCAACCATTAAGTGGTTCAAAGGAAAGTGGATGGATCTGGCTAGTAAGACGGGGAAGCATCTGCAGCTTAAAGAATCTTTCGATCGCTTTACCAAGGTGATCCCACTCAAACAATGTATTGTAAAGAAGCATTTGCACAACTTTCCTATTCTTCTAGCAATATTAGGCATTGACTTTCCCTTTGCTGTAGATTCACACCTTTGAGATGCACATTATTAAGGCGAAGGAGAACTATGCAGGGAATTACAGATGTGAGGTCACCTACAAAGACAAATTTGATAGCTGCTCTTTTGACCTGGAGGTCAAAGGTTTGTTTTCTGATTCAACACGACAAACACAGACACCAATACTACCAATCAAAAGTCTGGGGTCAGTATGATTTTAATTTACATTGATCAAACGTGACAGTAAAGACTTCATATTATAATGTTACAAAAGATTTCAGAAGATGTTTCTTGAGCAGCAAATCAGCATATTAGAATGATTTCTGAAAGATCATGTGACATTGAAGTAATGACCGCTGAAAAGACAGCTTTGCATCACAGGAATAAATTACATTTTAAAAAATATATTCAAATAGAAAACAGTTATTTGTAATAATATTTCACAACATTACTGTTTTTACTCTATTTTTAATCAAATACATGCAGTCTTGGTGAGCATAAGAGACAAACAACATAAAAAAAATCTTAATGAACCCAAACCGCAACGCTCCCATACAAGCCACATTTGTGGAGAATTTGTGATATTGTTGTCACATGCATACAGTGAACACTCTTTGTCATAAATTCCTGCAACTGCTTCAGAGCTGCTGTAGGCCTCATGGTCGCCCCTCTGATCAGTTTCCTCCTGGCTCTTTCATCCAGTCTGGAGTGACGTCCTGATCCAGGGAGGGTCTGTGTTGTACCAAATACCTTCCACTTCTTAATAATAGACTTCACTGTGCTTCTAGCCATTGATAAAACCTTAGAATTTTGTTTATATCCATCTCCTGACTTGTGCCTGTCCACAACTTTATCTTTTGACAGTGCCTTGCCACACATAGTTGATTGTTTGCTTCAGTTACACTACCACGGACTGAAAAGCTCCAGGAAATCTCTTTTCATGCTGAGCTAATCAAAATGACCACAGCTGATCACAGTTGAAAGTCTGTGGATGTTATAAGTTATAAACATTCACTTGGATGTTATAAGTTGCACTGAGCAAATACAGCTGGATAAAATAAAAACTGTGTCCGTCTTCATTTCAGCCTGCAAAGCAACAAAATGTGATTATTTTAAAGGGGTGATTCTTTTCTATACCCACTGTATCTATTAAGTATTATATAATATGCTAATAAAAATGAAAGTTATTATAAAGTTACCAATAATGTAAAGTGCGGTAAGTGTGTTCTTTCTCCTAATTGGTCAGTGTGGTCTCTGGGGGACGGACAGCCTGCCGAGGAGATCGAAAAACAAACCGAGACTCCGCCACTCTCGACTCTGTTGATTGAAATGCCGCAGAGTGGTTCCATCAATGTAGGTCAGTAATTGTAGCTTTATAATGGGTTTTGTTCATTTTCAAGCTCTTATTCACATCTTTAAGATCTCACAACATTTCAAAACATCAAACATTTATTATAATGTTCTTTGAAAGGTGGCGACATCACCTTCACTGCTAAGGTGGAGGCCAAAGACTTGCTTCGTAAACCAACCATTAAGTGGTTCAAAGGAAAGTGGATGGATCTGGCTAGTAAGACGGGGAAGCATCTGCAGCTTAAAGAATCTTTCGATCGCTTTACCAAGGTGATCCCACTCAAACAATGTATTGTAAAGAAGCATTTGCACAACTTTCCTATTCTTCTAGCAATATTAGGCATTGACTTTCCCTTTGCTGTAGATTCACACCTTTGAGATGCACATTATTAAGGCGAAGGAGAACTATGCAGGGAATTACAGATGTGAGGTCACCTACAAAGACAAATTTGATAGCTGCTCTTTTGACCTGGAGGTCAAAGGTTTGTTTTCTGATTCAACACGACAAACACAGACACCAATACTACCAATCAAAAGTCTGGGGTCAGTATGATTTTAATTTACATTGATCAAACGTGACAGTAAAGACTTCATATTATAATGTTACAAAAGATTTCAGAAGATGTTTCTTGAGCAGCAAATCAGCATATTAGAATGATTTCTGAAAGATCATGTGACATTGAAGTAATGACCGCTGAAAAGACAGCTTTGCATCACAGGAATAAATTACATTTTAAAAAATATATTCAAATAGAAAACAGTTATTTGTAATAATATTTCACAACATTACTGTTTTTACTCTATTTTTAATCAAATACATGCAGTCTTGGTGAGCATAAGAGACAAACAACATAAAAAAAATCTTAATGAACCCAAACTTTTGAATGGTAGTGTACATTTTATCCATTTACTGTATTTCATTTTTTTTCTATTTCTATTTCTGCTGTTTTTTCCCTCCAGAAATCCCAGAGGGTTCTCAAAACATCGATATCCGCTCAGCTTTCAAAAGAAGGTAAAGGGGGAACATCCTCCCTGAAAATTATTTTTATTAAGAGAAACGTATAGCAATGTTCAGAAGAAAATGGCAGAAAAAAATAAAACCATGTTTTTAGTATTAAAATCAATAAAATAATAATAATAAATTATAATGTTACAGTATGATATTAGATCATTTCTAAATTCTGGATATTATTAAGCAGTTTTTTTTTCACAGCACATACAGGTGAAATTGATCAGGGATATCATGTATAATGATATATAATTTATTTATATTAGAAATATATAAATTAGATGTTACTATATCATTCACAATTAAAAGTAAATCATACTTGACTTTGAAAATATTAAAATATTAATTTCCAGCATAAATGTTGCATTAAAATCTTCTCTGTGAATGTTTAATGAATTAAAACAGGACTTCTGTTCCAGTAATCCTCAACAAACCGATGTACATAAAAACATGGTTTGTTGAAGGACTGGATTACCAGAAAGTTCTCAGTTAACCATTTTGTCAAAAATATTTACCATCAAATCAACCCGTTGACCAAACCAATGTGTTGAACTGTTCAAAGGCCAATGCTTGCATTGGGAGCTTCCACCCCAACAATGTGTCAGAAAGCAACGCAAACTATCCAAGCTCATACTGTTCTCCCAAAGTACCTCTGAGAGAATCAGTCATGAGACCACTGGGATCACCCTTGGTAGCTTGTGCACAAATCAGTTCGCCTTACACCAGTGCTTTCGCACTCGGCTGCCACGCGAAAAGGTTCTTGTGTACACCTCAATTCTACATTCATTTGGATGCAGAGATTGGAGGCACTTGCGTTGTTCTTTTAGCATTGTTTGAATCTGATGTTTGTGACTTTTCTGATTCAGTTTCCATTAATCTCTTGTGAACAACAGCACTGATGGCCAAGACGATGCAGGCGAGCTTGACTTTAGTGGGCTTCTCAAACATAGGTGAGAACTCCAGTCTGTTCCCCCAACGGGACCAATTCTTTCTTATTTTTGTGCTTTTTTTTTCTTAAGCCCTGACAGGGGTGTCTTTTTCTTCATACTTTATTTTACACTGTTGTTAAAACAGTATCAACAGTATCTTTTTCACTCTTAAAATACATTTCTTCATGTTATTTATTGCAACAAGGCAACTACTCTCCTTAAAATATTTAACCATCCTGTAATGTGGAAAACACTATTTATGTGCCATTATTATTATTATTATTATTAATACACATTTTGGCATATAAATAAGACTGTATCAACAAGTGTATTTTGTTACCAACATAAAGGAAATACTGAATTCACACACAGTAAACAACCTTAATTTTTGAGTTTTGCTTCTAGAAGCATCTTTTTTTCACGAGGTTTTGCTTTAGTGTTCTGTTGTTAGCTAACTAGCAGAAGCTAAACTCCTGCATAATTGAGAAAAAAGTTATCCTGGCTTGTCTCTTTTTTTTCTTCCCTACGCTTTCAGACAAGGCAGGTTAGTATCGTAGGTAATTAAACGATTAGACGTTATCACTGGTAAGTATTATAATCCTTTAGCTTCCCAAGCATGACCTGAACAGGAACTGTATAAGCAAGAGTGTTGGCCTACTGTAGTCCGGTAACACTTTATTTAAAGACAGCATTCATAAAAGATTCAGCAATGCTCAGAAATGATGGAAACAACCCTTTAAAATTCAGAACCTGATGAAAAGGGAAACATTTTCCACTCATTTATGAGTTGTTGATGGAACACTTCTACATGAAGCTGTGAAATAGTGTTATCGCTACTTTTGTTAATGTAATCTTGATTTATACTCGAGAAACAAGACACAACTGCAACTGCAAACTTTCAGTGTTCTTAATACTTGCCTGAACAACTACATATTTGAAACATGAAAATAATAATGTTACCTCCGGACATTCAGGGAAATGTCTGGGTAAGAAGAGGGCTGAATGACAAAAACTGATGACGACTAATTTAACTGTCTCACACCCTGATCATGTTTAACGACTGTGATCATGTATAACAACAATATTCACTCCTAATAATAAACCCTGACTTCTAACCCTAATATAAAAGAAAACAACTACATTGGTGGATGTGTTTAGATAGGACTCCTGCAAAGAGATGGGTACAGTTTAAGCTACAGGACAGAGTCAATAGATTACTATTAATGAATTAAGAATTATAATTAAGGCTGTTGATCAATGAAAAATTAAATGATAAATATGATAATAATAAACCAAAATGTATTAAAATGAATTACTATCTATCTATCTATCTATCTATCTATCTATCATTATTTTCTTTCTGCTCATTGTTTTTATTGTTGGTTTATACATATAATTAAATTAAGCACACCAACAATAAAACTAAATACTTACGTAATACTTATATAATTATGTTTTCTCCGCATATTTTTTTAAATTGTTATACTTTGCTGATGTTTATGTCACATCAAGTTATTTAAACAGTTAAAACCTTTAAAAACACATGTTGAGACCTGTACTAAATTAATTTTACATTGACAGCCCAAATTATAAATCGTCCTAATATAAATGACATTATAATACACTGAAACAAATGTCACACTTCTCTTTTAGTAAATGATTTTAGTCTGTAGATCCATCATGAGCACGATCATGTGTTAACCACATGATAACACAATGTTCTCCCCCTTTTACTGACCTTATCCTTTCCAATCATAGTGAAATTTAAAAGTAGTACTGTAGCTCCTCACTAAATTCTTGTCTCCAGTCATAAACACAGTACCATCCCTTCCTTGATCATGTGAACCACTGTGTAGCTAAAAACTAGTGAGGCATCTCTCCCTGTAACAGGTTATCAATGACATATGCAGGTTATCCAGCCCATCTCTTTGTGTGACATGTCTTGAGGAACTAGAAATAAGGAGAATAATAGTGGAACATCCATCTTTCTCATATTAAAGCCTATGAACATCCCTACATAGCGATCTGGTTCCTCAACACATGTTGAAGAGCCCTAGCCATGACCTCTGACCTCTTACTGTCTTACTGCTCTGTGATGTCAGGGAGCACAAGCAAGAGGAAGTTCCAGAGGTGGATGTGTGGGAGATTTTGAAAAAGGCCCGACCTGATGAATATGAGAAGATTGCTTTTACGTATGGCATCACCGATCTCAGAGGCCTGCTGAAAAGACTGAAGAAAACCAAAAAGGAAGAGAAAAAGAGTGAAGGTGCTGATTTAAACTCTATTGGATGTTTACTTTGCTTGATAAATGTGCAGTATTCAGTTCACATGTAATGTAAAATTCTTCAGTTGAAACACTGTTATTCATCTGCAAATTTGCTGAAAATCACTCTCGGGCTATCCAAGCTGTAGATGAGGTTTTTTTCTTTATAAGAACAGATTTGGAGAAATTTAGCATTATGTCACATGCTCACCAGTGGATCTTCTGCAGTGAATGGGTGCCATCAGAATGAGAGTCCAAACACCTGATAGAAACAACAAAATAATCTACATGACGCCAGCCTATCAATTAACATCTTGTGCACATCAATTAACAAGTGAAAAGCTGTGCACTTGTACGAAACATCATGGCATTTTAACCTTAAATCATTCTGAATCAGGAGAAAAATGTGCACAGATCAAGCACCGTTTACAAAAATATGAATCCATAATTCATAATAACACCTCTCACATCAAAACTACCAACATATTTGTTATGAGCTGTTTCGGACTGTTTTCAATTGTAAACGTTGCTTGATCTCTGCATATTTTTCTCCTGATTCAGATGACTTTTTCACTGGAGCAATATTATGGATAGAGAGTTAAAAATGCCCTAATAATTTATTTATTATAAACACACAGCGTTTCACTTCACAAGATGTTAATTGATGGACTGAATCATGTGGATTACTTGTGGATTATTGTGATGTTTTTATCAGCTGTTTGGACTCTCATTCTGACGGCACCCATTCACTGCAGAGGATCCTTTTGTGAGCAAGTGATGTAATGCTAAATTTCTCCAAATCTATCCTAATGAAGAAAACACTTTTCTACATCTCTGATGGCCTGAGGGTGAGTACATTATCAGTAATTTTTTATTAGAATTTTTTTTTTTTAATTTTTGGGGTGAACTATTACTTTAAATTTCCACTGTAGCATTTTCCAAGAGACTGGAACCTGCATATCAGGCGGACAAAGGTGGAAAGATCCGATTAGTTGTGGACCTTGCTGACCCCACTGTGGAGTTAAAATGGTACAAGAATGGACAAGAGATCCGCCCTACTCCAAAGTATGTCACCTCCTATTCTTACATGCTGTTTTATACATTCAGAAACACGCTCATGTGAAACCTTCCGTAAACACCAACCTGCTTAAAACCTTCATTTATTGTGTTCTTTGGCTTGCTGGTCACAGGGGACTCAGAAATGACTCTGTTTGCAGCAAACACACATGATACACACACAAGTGAACCATCAGCATTTCATACCCGGCAAACATGCAACGTTCTTTAAACATTACTCTGTGCCTTATGATAACTTCCAGAAATGTTTAAAGGACATATGTGATTGAAGGCCAATGTGAAACTCTTGAGCTACATTTGAAGTTTTAAATGTAGTGTACAATGAGTAATTAACAACAGCAAACTGTACAGGAAAAAGGCACCTCCACCCTCACAGGACTTTAATAGAGTTGCAAAAGCTGCCTGATATTTGTACATTAAATGCATATACAGTGGGTACGGAAAGTATTCAGACCCCCTTCGTTGCATCTTTCCCAAAAAGACTCATGGCTGTATTAGATCAAAAGGGTGCTTCTACTAAATACTGAGCAAAGGGTCTGAATACTTAGGACCATGTGATATTTCAGTTTTTCTTTTTTAATAAATCTGCAAAAATGTCAACGATTCTGTGTTTTTCTGTCAATATGGGGTGCTGTGTGTACATTAATGAGGAAAAAAAATTAACTTAAATGATTTTAGCAAATGGCTGCAATATAACAAAGAGTGAAAAATTTAAGGGGGTCTGAATACTTTCCGTACCCACTGTATCTATCTCTAATGATATGAAGAAATATGTTATGGTAATTTTTTTATCATATGTAATATAATTTTTTCTTATAGTTTCATTTTTTCATATTTTTAAAGATAAAATAATTTACACAAAATAATATTTTGTAATAATGTGTAAAGTGCTACAAAAAAATTCAAAAATCCAATTTCTATTATCTTATTTGTAAGATTTTATCTCTCTTATTTTTTTTTATACTAAACATTTTACAAATGCTGCAAGGAGTGTGTAGTTTATATAATAATACTCAATTTTTTTGAAAATTAAGGCAACGTGTTTCAACCCACTTCTTATGGTTGTTCAGAGCAACTCAATTAAAGCCATTTGGGTGGTCGGTGCAGCTTTCTGGTTGCTTATCTTCAATGATGTCTATCCCAGTATTCCCTGCTTTTTGGAGGACTCTCTCTTTCTCTTCTTTCAACTTTTCTCTTTCTCTCTCCCCCTCTCTCTATAAACAGTAACTGTAACACTAATAGCTCTTCCAGCACTGTTTGATCTAGGCATGATGTCTATCTATCCTTTCTGTCTGTTATGCAATGGTGATCCCACCTGTCTGCCATTCCCTCCACTTCCACCTTCTCCATCCTCTGCTCCGGCTGTTCTGGCTCCTCTGTTCACCATAAAGTAATAGGAAGTAAGTCAGCCAGTCCTCAGGACTGTCTTGTATATCTGAACCAAGGGAGTGACCTCATTTCTGCTGTATACATCTGTTCTGATGCTTTCAGTGCCATGTTGTATGTATAATATATTGCATATGTTGAATGGAATAACAAAACTATAAGTAATTCAGCAATCACACAAGCAAGAATGTTATTGTACTGAATATCAGCACACACACACAACTTAGACACAATATGGCTAGCTATTTTGTCTATATTTTCTCTGCCAATGAAAACAGTTCCAAAACAAGCCAAAGCAGGGTCAACTTTTGTGTATTTACAGTATGAGCAAATTACAATCAGATCAATCAAATTAAAGGAACAGAATTAACTTCTGTACAATATTAATTATTTCTGTTTTCTTTTTCCTAATTTTCATTAAAAAGAAAGAAAGAATGAATGAAGAAATGAATTACATAAAGCAATCAATAAATAAGATTGAATGAAAAAATAAGTAAAAGAGAATAAATGAATTAATTCATAAATCAATAAACAAAAGAATGACTGACTGAATTAATGAAGAAAGAAAAAAGAAAGAAAGACTAAAGGAATGAATTAAAGCAATTAATAAATAAAATACTTTTTTGTAAGAATAAATTAATAAATTAATAAAGAAATCAATAAACGAAAGACTGATTGACTCACTGACTGACTGACTGACTGAATAAAAACAGGAATGAATAAATGAAACAATCTATAAATAAAGACCAATAAACCAATTAATGAATGAATAAATGACAATCAATTAAGACTGGCTGAATGAATGAATGAATCCAACTAATGTTAAATTAAGGATGTGAAGTAAAAATAGCCTTAACTTTCAGTAACTATTAAATTGACTGTGCAGGTATATCTTTGAGCACAAAGGCACTCAACGGATAATGGTTATTAACAACTGTCAGATAAACGATGATGCTGCCTACTCAGTCACTGCAGGAGAAGAGAAGTGCACCACTGAACTCTTTGTGAAAGGTGCGTCTTACCAGCCTATGATTTCATCCTCAAAAAGTGACAGAACTGATAAATACTGATCATTTTATAACAACATTCCCAAACACTGCCTGCCAATGATTTAATCATGTACTCTCGGTCTCCTTTGGTCCTCTTATGTAGAACTGCCTGTGAACATAGTGAAAGTGCTGGAGCCTGTAAAAACCACAGTGAACGAGAGAATTGAACTGGAGTGTGAGGTGTCTGAGGAAGGAGCCAAAGTTAGATGGTATGTGCGATGGAAATTGTAGGTGTTTAATACCCAATTTTGTGTTTGACACGCAAAGCAAAATGAGAAAAAAAGCTTCACCTCTTTGCTGACTGTCTGGTACAGGATGAAAAATGGGGTGGAGGTCCCCACAGGGGTGCGTTCACGGTACCGCGTGAAGTCCGAGGGGACCAAACACTGGCTGATCATTGACGATGCCACAAAGGATGACACTGGCACCTACTCCCTGATGGCCACCGGGGGCACCACTGAAGCTCACGTTCAAATTGATTGTAAGATAATATTGCTTTTAGAGAGTGATAATTGCCTTTAGGAACTTTCTAAAGATATTTGAATCAAAAACATCTTTATTTCACTCCTTTCTCTGCTATTCATTCATTTTTGTCTTTTTGTTTCTTGTTACCTTGCCTGATTATCCAGTGAAGCCTTTGAAGATTTTAATGGATCTACAGAGTGTGACAATGTTGTTGGGTCAACCTCTTAAATTGAACTGTGAGATTTACCCTGGAAACGTCCCGGGCCGCTGGTACAAGAACGGCCAGCTGGTCCAGTCTAGCGAACGCATCAGCATTATGCACAGAGCCAAGTATGTCAACTTACTCATTCAGTATTAAACCAATCCCAATCACATCTGCTCATTGACTCATACAGTATACTGCACATAATTATACATATATAAAATAACAAACTATAACAAAAACTATAACTGTATCAACTGGACTTCATTGTGAAATCCAGCTTAAGCTAGTAGCTGTGGAACATGGTAACTGGTTTCTAACTGGTCACTAGCTGGACAACCAGCCACCATTTTCATTTCATTTCATAAAAATATAATATAATATAATATAATATAATAACAATTCTGAGTTTATATCTCAATGCTGCCTTTTTCTCTAAATTCTGATCTTACATCTCACAATCCTGACTTTTTTTCTCTGAATTTCTGAGTTTGTCTCGCAAATTTTTTCTCCCCATGGAATTAAAATAAAAAAGTTCATTGCAACTTTTTCTCTCACAATTCTGATTTTTTTCCTCGCAATTGTGAGTTTATATCTCACATTTCAGACTTTTCTTCTCAGAATTGCATGTTTATCTCTCGCAACTCCGAATTGTGAGAAAAAAGTCAGAATTGTAATATATAAACGCAGAATCACAAGAAAAATAGCTAGATAAAAAGACGCAATTACCTTTTATTGTTATTGTTTTTTTTTTTATTCTGTGGTGGAAACAGACTTCCATAGATTTCTCTTTTTTTTATTTGTACTTTCTTTTCAACTTACAGGAATCACAACCTTGACATTGAGAGCTCCACTATTCATGATGCCGGTGATTATACCTTTGTTCCTGAGGGATACACGCAGACGCTGTCTGCCAAAGTGCACATCATAGGTACAGCAACAATCCAAAAGTTCTTCCAAAATTCTTATCGTATTTATGCTAATAAGCTCTCTGAAAGAATGCCATTTGGATCAACTTTGCAGATCCACCCAGGGTGCATTTAGAGGCACTGAATGTCCAGGATAACACGGTGGTCATTGTGGCTGGAAACAAACTCCGGCTGGAGATCCCTATTAGTGGAGAACCAGCACCCAGAGTCGTGTGGATGAAGGGAGAACGTGTGAGTAGAGCGGAGTAGAAAAGCGATGACTGAAGAAAATATTAAAAAATATAACCAGAAACACCTGGATTAAACTGGGCTCATGGGTTGTTTCAGGTCATCCTTGATTCAGGAAGTCGGATGCGTGCAGAGACATTTGCAGACCACACCTGCCTCACTATTGATATCGCAGAAAGAGAAGATACCGGAAACTACAAGATCGTTCTTCAGAATGAAGCTGGAGAGGACACAGCTAGTATAAAAATCAAAGTTGTAGGTAAGACACTTTCCTCTGAGGGAACATGTTTGTTTGGGTGATGGCATTGTAAATTGTACCATATTTTGTTTTATCTAGATATCCCAGATCCCCCTGAGGCTCCTCTGGTTACTGATGTTGGTGGAGATTGGTGCACTATGACATGGGAGCCGCCACGCTATGATGGTGGTTCCCCCATCCTTGGTAAATCAACTACTGTGCATAAAAACAGCATCATATTGATATTTTGGAAGCTTGTTAATTTTAGGTTTTATTTCAAATGATGTTGAAAAATGCTGTGAAATTTCACTGTAATCTCATTACACTACCATACAAGCATCAGTACAAGTTAATTCATGCTTCTGTTGATATATCACAGGATATTTCATTGAGCGAAAGAAGAAACAGAGCTCTCGATGGATGAGGCTGAACTTCGACCTTTGCAAAGAGACCACCTTTGAGCCGAAAAAGATGATTGAAGGTGTGCCATACGAGGTGCGAATCTTTGCCGTCAATGCTATCGGCGTCTCCAAACCCAGTGAGCCCTCCAAACCTTTCATTCCCCTGGGTGAGTACACGAGTGGCCCATCTGTATTATCAATGGTGTGGCATCGTGAGAGGTACAGTATCACCAAAGTGTGGGTTGCTTCACAAATCAAGTCCAGGCCGCAGGTTTCTTTTTAATCATCACCTCAAAACTCCAAAACTTACAACAGAGAAAAACTCTTCCAGCTTCTCTCAACACACTCTAACAAAAGAAGATGCCAGTCACTTTGCTCCCAGCTCGGGACTGGGCAGCCATCTTGGTTTGTAGTCCCCATGCTGCAGCCAACTAGATGGCACATACCTTCCCTCTATGACACACCCTCTCACGATGCCACAATGGGATTTTTTGTCTCTTCAAATCAGTTATGTAATGAGCGCCGTCTCTATTATGTAACATAACACACAGAATGATCATTTACGCATATCCCATTAAGTGAGTCAAAGACACTGCAGAGACGCCAGAGCTTTTCTATATATATATATATATATATATATATATATCATGGATTTGGAACAAATGATGGGAAAATATTGGCTGCAAACATTCAATAAGACTAATATATATATAATAACACAAATTATTACATAATCAAGAATAAATAGAGAAAAAATAGAGAAAAAAATTAAGCAACTCGGGCTGAATTTGAGAAATATATATTGCAGTTATTTTTAAAAATTCTGCAGAAATATTGGCTGAACACGTTCAGAGATTTTAGAACAAATTATGCAAAGAATCTTAACTGAAAAAAATTTAGACTTATTACAACATTTATCCGAAGTAAACAGAGAGAGAAAAAAAAAAGGAAATTATAAGGATGCATTTAAAAAAATATTTTTATTTATTTATTTTGTTTATTTTACAACAAATTATGTTTTATGCTTAGGAAATGAACCTAAAATATAACTAAACATATTCAGCAACACTACTTACTAATTTCATTAAATACATTCAATAGCTGTGACCAGTGAACCCACAACACTGGTGGTGGATGACGTCACAGATACCACAGTGACCATGAAGTGGAGACCCCCAGACACCATCGGTGCCGCTGGACTTGATGGCTACCAAGTTGAATACTGCCTTGAAGGAAGTAAGACTAAACATACTGCGTGCTTTGCATAAGTGGTTCTCCACTGGTGGGTGTTCATGCCATTTTGTGCTTTTGCATTTAATTTACAGCTGACGAATGGATACTTGCTAATACAGAGCTGACAGAAAAAACGAGGTACACTATAACCGGTCTGCCAGTGGAGGCCAAGATCTTAGTGCGTGTCAAGGCCATAAATGCTGCTGGGGCCAGTCCACCACGCACAACCCAACACTCCATACTGGTCAAAGAGGTTGTCGGTGAGAGTCTATTGCCACATTTCACTAGTTAATTCAAACTAATAGCATGCATAAATTAGATTCATAATAATTTATAAAGTCATTTTAAGCCAGTTCTGGTTATAGTAATGCTCTCTTGTTTGTTTGGCAGAACCTCCTAAGATTCGCATACCTCGACACTTGAAGCAGACATACATTCGAAAGGTTGGCGAAGTCGTCAACCTCGTCATGCCATTTGTGGTGAGACAAGAGATCATGATAACAAACCGCAAGCTTAACGAATTCCTCCCCTTTTGGGTCACGAAAGAAAACTTCTAAACGTTTTTTTGTCTTTTTAGGGTAAACCGAGGCCAAAAGTCAACTGGTTGAAAGAGGGTCAGCCGATTGACAAAACCGTCAGCATTCGCAACTCAGATTGTGACAGCATCATGTTCATCCGCAAGGCTGAGCGCAAGCACTCTGGGAAATATGAACTGAGCGTACAAGTGGAGAATCATATCGACACGGCCACACTGGACATCCAGATAGTCGGTTAGTTAAGAAAAATGCTATTAAAAAATATATTTAAAAGAAGAGTCAAATGTTTTGAAAGTCTTCAAAAGTCTGTAAAATGAGTGAAGTGAATTTATATTTTCAGTTTTTTTTCCATTTTCATTGTTTATTTTTAGTTTAAGTTTTAGTAATTTTTATGTGCTTTTGTCATCTTTTTTTAATATAAATTTTTTAATATAAATTTTTATTTCAGTAATTTTATTACTTCAAATTAAACTTATTTTAAGTTAATTGTCAAAGTGACATTTCTAATTTCTGTTTATGTTTTATTATAGGTTTACTATATAATATTTATATAAATATGAACATTTCTGTAATATTTATTTCAATTATGAAAACAATTTTTAAGTTTTAGTTACAAAAACAGCACTGAATATTGCTATATGCTAAATGTATTGTGCTAATGCTAACTTTACTGCTAATAATGCTAAAATACAGATTATCAATAAGAAATATATGATATTTAATATATATAGTTCAGAGAAATATATGATATAGAGCTAACCTAAGCCCACCATGTTCTCCATCGAAGCACCGTCGAACATTTTCTTTTGCTGTCTTTCCCAGATCTTCCAGGCCCACCACAGGCTGTAAAGATCGAAGAGGTCTGGGGGAATAATGTAGCACTGGACTGGAGCCCACCCAAAGACAACGGCAATGCACCCATAATAGGCTACACCATCCAGAAAGCTGATAAAAAGACAATGGTCTGAAGAAAACTTTTGTCTCTTCACTGTACTTCTATGACACTCACAATTAAAACTGATTTCAAACATGTAATTTTTTTCAATCATTTAATTTTTGTAATGTATTAGTGATTTTTTTCTTTACTATATGGTTTATATACCGTATATAAATTTTTTGTAATAAAAAAAAATATATATATATATTTGTAAAATGTTAAGTTTTAAGAGGATACAAACTGAGTGTGGGTGTGTGTGTGTGTGTGGGTCACACAGGAGTGGTACTCATGTATAGAGCACTACCATCGTACCTGCATCACAATCTCAGATCTGGTGGTGGGTAACGAGTATTACTTCAGGATCTACTCAGAGAACATGGTGGGCTTAAGTGAAAGTGCCACCGCCACTAAAGACAGTGCTCTGATCGTGAAAGAAGGTAAGGCTTTGCTCTGCTCTACTTCTTTGTAAATTAACAGCTTTTCTAAATCCTTTTCAATGCTGCAATAAGTGTTTTTTGTTTTTTTTTAATGGAATACCACTTATAAAAGGTCCGGATGTCTTGAGAATTGAGCTATGACAGCCCGGTAAACAGCAAAATAGAGTCTGTGCATTTGAGCCAATCAGAAAACTTGCTGTCTTCCAACCTCAACCAATGGTGTAAATTTAGGGGAGGGACTACTGGAGGGAGTATTTCTGCATTGCTGAAGCTGGTATGGTGTTCGCAATGTCAAAACAAAACAAAACACAATAAAATTAAATAAACCTTAAATGCACTTTAAAGGGATAGTTAGATAGATGAACGAAGGTCTTACGGGTTTGGAATGACATGAGGGTGAGTAATTAATAACAGAATTTAAAGGGATAGTTCACCCAAAAATGAAAATTTGAAGTTTATCTGCTTACCCCCAGGGCATCCAAGATGTAGGTGACTTTGTTTCTTCAGTAGAACACATATGATGATTTTTAACTTCAACCGTTGCAGTCTATCAGTCGTATAATGCATGGCAATGGTAACAAA